TAGAATTTCCACTCAGCCAGCTTTCCTGTGGTTCTGGATGATATTCATTTTATCTTTTAGTTGTAGTTTGGAAATTGTTCTGTGAGGCAGCAGTTTAGGTGTTTACCTATGCTGCCATCTTGGTTTCTCTCCTCCAATAGTCTTAATATATTTATATAATGGGCAGAAACAAGAGCTTATTTTGGGGTGCCTATTCAATTGCTGGGATCAATAAAAGCTGTTTCCCAAGTTAGTGGCCTACCCTGCTAATTTTATTATTATTATTTTTTAATTTTTTTAATTTTTATTTTTTTAAATACATTTTTATTGGCTTCAGAAGCAAGAGGGAAAGATAGACAGAAACATCAATGATGAGATAGAATCATTGATTGGTTGGCTCCTGCAAGCTCCCTCACTGGGTATTGAGCCCGCAACCCGGGCATGTGCCCTTGACTGAAATCAAATTCGGACCCTTTAGTCCACAGGCTGACACTCAATCCACTGAGCCAAACTGACTAGGGCCCAGCTGATTTATTGACCCTATCCCCATTTGCCCAATAGAAAGCATCCACGTTACGCTTTAATTTGCCTTATGCTCTCTATGGTGTTTAATAGTTTCCATTCAGGACACGTCTTACAGTAAGTGGCACCTGGCAGGAACCTCCAGATGCCCTTCAGGATCCTCCATATCTGCCCAGGCACCAACAGCACATGAATATGACCTACACCTTGACCATAAAAGCACAATTCTTGTGGCCCAGCCATCTGGAGATAACCCTAATTTATTCTGGCTTCCCTGGGCACACAGTTAATGTCCATCCTAAGCCCAGTGCCTTGGGGCCACACACATTCCTGGTTCTCCAATTGTGCACTGCTAACCTTAACCAATGCCTTTTGCTCTGTGCTGGCCCCTTGGGAAGTAGTTTGTCCAAACTATGTACTTTAGCCTCCCTGGGACTACCCTTACAAATCATTGAGCAGGACACCCAATTGTCTCCCTTTATGACCTTTCAAGTCAAAATTATGCAGTATCCATCCCCATTATTTTTGGGACTAGAGTAGGTACTAATACACTTGAAATGCAGCCACGAATCATTAAAGCAAGCATCATTCTGTCAGCCATCCTGGCTGAACACATTGGGCTGTTACATAAGAGCATTTTTGCAGTGATAACATGATTCTTTAGTATAAATAGCTTGGGCTAACTGTTTAGTTTTATATTACTTATTAGATAAAACAAAAAGTGAATGTGCTTACAAAGGGTACCACCTATTACATGGATATTAATAATTCTGTATACACATATATAGAAGTTGGCCCCATAAGTACAAATGCTACATAATCTCACTCATATTTTAAATTAAATATCTACCTTATCATAACCAAGGGCTTTGGTTTAGTTTATTGGCTGGACCCCAACAAAAGGAATGTGGCTGATGGCTAAGAACAGGTTTTTAAACTCTCACTCACCTATGGATATTGGTGATTGTTATTTCTGCTTTTTTTCAAATATTGCAAAACCCTGCCCCAGGCTTTAATATCCTCACTGTCCAGACTGTGAGTTTCCCTGAAGGTTAGTGGCTAGGCATCCTGGAGTCAATTGCCATGAAAGTCATCTTTTGAAAAAGAACAACTTTTTTTTTTCTGCCTAGGCAATTTACAGTCTGAACACAACTCACCTCCAGAATCTGGACATTTAGATAAATGCCGGCCATAAATTCCATTTTACTTTTCCTGGGGCACCTCTAAAATAAATGCTTAGAGTTTAGTCTGGGAAAAGTTATGGATCTCTACCCCAGCCACCTTAAAACTCATAGGTGCTTGCTAGCCTGCTTCTATCTCCTGCTGGCATGTGATCTGGAATGGAGGACTACCTTTCCTTGGCTCAATTGTGACCTCCACTTCTGGGATCTGTAAGTAATAAATCATACAACTTTTTTTCCATTGTGTAAGTGTATTAAACACACACCTTCAATCCAAGTTACCCAATAAATTTCATCTCCCCAAAGTGGGAGTTTGAATGTTTTAAAGTTTTATATTTTCATTATGCAACATCTCCATGAATTATAATTATCTATAATACACTCTATCATACACTTCCCTCAATATTTATACAGTCATTCTAAAGTGTAACTCCTGGGATGAAAAATTCTCCAAATTATTTCAAAATAGAACTAAATTTTTTTCAAAGGAAGTAATAACACAACCCAAAAGTTAACCCACAATCTTATAAAGGTTGATATTGCTATTAGAGGAAAATATAAAATGCATCCAAATGTTTATTATACAATGCTTTTATATAGCTTATACACTGATTTAAATTTCTTACCTGAGATTTACAGCTGGACCTTTAAAAGCAAACTTTGCCATTAGGTACCTGAGCATAAATAAACCCTGGCTGGGCAAGTGTGGTAGTATAAGATATATGATCTTAAGTAAACAGACTTGTTTACTCTTAGCATTTCTCATGCATTACAGTAATAAGCAGATTAAGCTTTTTTAAAGGTATCTCCTTCAATGGCTATTCTGGCAAGTATTTGCATTAAATATTGTCTTTGCTATCATGGTCTCCACTGCTCCCATCAACCAAGAATGTCAGATGTATCTGAAATAAAGACTGATAATGATTAATAATCTCAGCTTATTATTAAGAAATATGTAAAATTAATATATCTCAAACTAATACAACATAAATTATTATTATTATTATTATTATTGATTATAAAAAGAAATTTAAAAAAAATTAAAGTGTCTTTTTTTTTTTTCTGAGTCCTATAATGATGAGAGTTGGTTATGTTAATTCAAATGAAGACACCACAGCAGTGTTAAATTGCACTGAGTAATAAAGAAACATCTCTGAAAAATCTTGTTGGTGTTTTTAATTTTAATATATTTTAAAAGGTACTAATTTAGATAATTAAATATGTGTTTTAAAGTTTTATGTTTTCATTATGCAACATCTCCATGAACAATAATTATCATTATGTTTCTTTGTCCAGCCATTTTAAAGGAGGAAAAAAGAAATAACGTTGGTATGCCTTTTGTCAGAGAGTCCCCAAACTGTCATATTTAGTAATAACTAAGTACTGGAATAGAACCTGACTGTTTATTTTATTAACTGGCAAACAAATGTGACAATAATTTCATACAAATTTTAAGTGGTGGCTGAGAATCTTGAGGGACTTCTCAGCAGCAAAAGTCTCTCTTAAGTAGTTTGGGGCCTCAACCTCGTGCTGGGCTCCCAAATCTGGAGCACTGGAGCCAGGAAGAGGAGCATACATAACTTCTGGCTGTGAAAATCAGTGGAGATTCTGCTGTCACAGAGAGACAAGAGTCTGATAAAAACCCAGGCACCCTCTATAAGGGCCAACACACAAAATCTGTTTTGTAGCCACTTACCCTCGACTGCATCAGAGGGAGCATGGCTCAGAGTGGACAAAGATTGTGCAAAGAGAGACTGGGTTGTGTGGCTCCGGTGAGAGAGCTGAAGGGACAGTTGCCAAGGTTCCTGTGCTGAGGTCCTCTCACACACTGCCCACAGCCACCATATTTTCTGGGTCAAGCACTGCCCTTCCTGCATCAGCCTGAAGGAACTCCTGATTCCCTGTTGCTCTGCCTAGCCAAGATCATGCACTGTGGGGGAGTCTGCTGCCTGTGCCCACAATATAAGCTTTTTTTGAAAGGCTCTGCAGGGTGAATGCAGAGGGTATCAAAGACTAAGTTGTATGGTTCTAGGATGGAACCAACCCCCTCTCCCCGCACCCCCCCCCCTACACACACACACATACACACACTTGCCTGCCAGAGCAGCAGCGACCCAGTCTGTATACCATAGCAGCACTGTCTCACCATGAGATAAATACTAGCCTAGCAGGGAGGGGCCACCAGGAGTCAAGAGAGTCCTGGTGGCCCCTCCCTGCTAGGCTTGCATTCAGAAATATTATTAGTTGGCTATGACCAGCCTAAGCCTACAGTGCAAAATCATTTGGAAGACTCTTGAGTAGATCTGTGCAGACACTGGGAAAGACAAAGTTGTGTGGGTAAGTGTGGGTAAGGGTCATATTTCCCCTCTCATGTCCAATTAACACCCCATTTCTGTGCAAAGCCCTCCCTTCACATGGTTAAATCTTGGTCTGTTTGTGATAGATAAACGCTGCTGGCCTCATCCTGATGACTTTCTGAGAACCAGTCCAATCACAAAGGTCTGTAGGCACCCAACTGGTGCCAGCTGGCCTTGGTGTGCCCTTAGACCAGTGGTTGGAGAACAGCGGCTTGCAAGCTACATGAAGTTCTTTGGCCCCTTGAGTGTTTTGACTCCACTTCTTCAAAATAGACTAGCCCAGGCCAAAAACCGACTTCTGCGCATGGGCCACAAAGTTTTGATCACACTGTACATGCCTACCCACATGTGGTATTTTGTGGAAGAACCACACTCAAGGGGCCAAAGAGCTGCATGTGGCTCATGAGCCATGGTTTTCCAACCATTGCCTTAGACTGTTGCTGAGTCTCTGCAGACACAGGACTATCAAGGATTTTGAGCCTGTATCAATATGGTGAACACAAGTCACCCCTACTTGGTGACTCATTGAGTTATATACTACCACCAGAGGCTCTTTCAATGACAGAGCCTGTCAGCTATCAGATAGAGGCAGATTGTGGGAGCCTTGGGCCTTTTGTTGATCTTCCCCCATGCTCAGTGCTGGTGGAAACTGGCCTGGGTGTATAACTTGGCCACTGCCATGCATGCCCATGCCCAACAGAGGCACCCACAAACTGTGGATCATTTACTAACTCCAAACAGGTTGTCCAGGGCCAGACACAGGCAATGCTTGACATTGAATGCATTGGAGTTCCTTCCAAATGGCCCCAGAACCAACACAACTGATGGTTGGATTCAGACCACATCAGAGCTGACCCAACTAGATCTATAAGCTGCACATACAAAAGTAGATCTCAGCAGGCACCAGAACCTGCTGGAGTAAATTCTGATTTCTTGGATTAGCCTTTGCCCAACAACTCACAGTGTGATTAGGGTTGATTTTCATAGTCAGCTAGTCAGAGGGGCAACCTCATCCATGGATGGGCCAGCAGATAAAACTACAACAGGAGGGTTCACATAACCCACACAAGGGACATTCCAGGAGACTGTGCCACTGAGGCACGTAGATACTTATTACATAAAGATAACATACCAAGACTGGAGACATAGCATATCTACCTAATACACAGAAGCAAATATAGAGAAGCAGTCAAAAATAAGAAGACAAAGAAATATTATCCAAAAAATAGAACAGGAGAAAGCCCCCTAAAATAAACAAAATAAAATGTAGGCAAGCAAGCTACCAGATATAAAGTTCAAAAAATTGTTATAAGAATGCTCAAAGAAATTAAAAGAAGGATGGATGAAATCAATGAGAATTTAAACAAAGAGAAAGTAAATATAAAAAACACATAAAATCCATAAAAGAGAACCAGTCAGACATGAAGAATGCAATATCTAAAATGAAGAATATAGTAGAAAGAATCAACAAAAAGCTAGATGAAAAAGAGGATCCAATTAGTGATTTTGAAGACAAGGTAGAAGAAAACACCCAATCAGAAGAGCAAAAATAATAATAATAATAATAAATTTTTAAAAATGAGGGTTAGTGTAGGGAAGTGGTTGGCAAACTCATTAGTCAACAGAGCCAAATATCAACCTTTACAATGATTGAAATTTCTTTTGAGAGCCAAATCTTTTAAACTTAAACTTCACTCAAGGGGCCAAAGAGCTGCATGTGGCTTGCAAGCCGTGGTTTGCCAACCACAGGTCTAGGGACATTTGGGACAACATGAACCATAACAGACACATCATAGGGGTAATAGAATGAGAAATGAGAGAGCAAAAGATGGAAAACATTTGAAAAGATAATGATTGAAAACTTTACAAACCTAAGGAAAAGAACACAGAAATCCAAGAAGAGCAAAGAATTCCAAACAAGAATCCAAAGAGCCCACATCAAAATACATCATGATTTACGGGAAGTCACCACTTTCCCAATACTGTCAGAAGGGTGCATCAAGGAATGCGGAAGGCTGATGGACCCTGGGCATTAGCAGGCTGATGTTAAGCACTGATTGTTCCATGTTGAGACAGTGGTGGCTCAAAGCAGTTTCCTTACCTAATAGCCTCAAAATAAATGTTTACTGTTCCTTAATGATATTTATTGATATTTATTGACCCTAGAGATAGTCTTTCTGCTACCTGTTTGCCATGCTTTTTTGAGGGCAAGATGTGTATCTAAAACTGAATAAAAAGCAGAGAAGGCCAGGTTTCAATATACCTCTCCAAGAGAGAGGTCTCCACCTGACCCCTATGCCTTCTAAATTCATACTTATTGTATATTATTTTCATTTGTGTGTAGTCCCAGATCCTGAACCCCTGCCACAAAAGGTTGTGGCATTCTGGCACCATGAATAGGAATTTAAAGGAGAAGATTTACCTGAGGGGAAAAACAGTAAAAAAGGAAAAGTGGAAATTCACTGGAAAGGTGGGAGGTTGACCGCACACAAAGCCTGTGCAGTTCAGAGTTATGACAGTAAGTGGATAAGGATTATTTTGATTCAGCCAGTTTATTATGGGGAAGAATTTGACTAAAAGACAAAAATATCATTGTAAATGTTTACCTTTCATGCTCAAGGATAAAGGAATTAAAATGTCAAAAGGTACTCTCTTAAGTCAGGCTCAAGGAAAACGCAGTCCCTTGTCATTTTTAACCATGTGGGTTCTTGTTCAAACTGCATTATGTCCACTTGGTATTGAGGATCAAAAGTATGTAACACCTAAGTCTCCAGATTGTCCACCTCTAGTGTGGGAAGGCTCAACAGCTAGAGCAAATTGGGCTAACAGTCCTTTAACAAAAGGACTCTTTAATGTTTTGTCTGAAAATTACCATACGATACTTTGGCACTGGCAGATTTTAGCTAAAATGACTTTATCTTCCAGTCAATTCTATGGATAGCACAATAGGATAAGATCTGTGAACAACAGGCAAAGATCTAGGCCACATTCTGGCTGTAAGTGCAAAGCAATGTAATCCATGAAAACAACTTTGATTTATTAAGTCTTGTCTATGTGTTATGCATGCTTGTCTTTGATTGTTGTTTTATCTCTGTGCTATTTTTTTTGTTAGTTTAATTTGTTTATTAAATGTGCCTTTAATTTAATTTAATATAAAAGAAACAGTAGATGGCCAGGCCATTACTAAATTTCCCCGGAGTAAACAGAATGGGTGTGCGGAGAAAGAATATGAGCGGTGCAGGTTCACATAGGTTAACACAGGTTCTAGGAAAATTCCCTAGACAAAGGGAATAACTAAAAAAAGCCACAGCCCATTAATTACTAGGTCTTTTGGTGATCCCATAAAATGTTTGCCCACTCTCAGGAATGTTACTAAGTCTCATTGTCACCATATTTTTATTTTCCAGTTTGTAATTTGAAATTTGGAGAAATGAGACATTTATTACAATTTAGGAATGCATCTGGGATTTCTAAACCCATGAAGAGGAAAAGGCTAGCTTAAGAGTAGGTGCGCCCCACCTGAGTTTGGGTGGCCTCTTGGCCTAAAGCTCCATCTCTTCACGGGTGCTATGGAATAAACCCAAGTCTGTTTTTATTTAAAAGATGGCAAAAATGACACAAGGAAAATATACAGGCTGGGTTTGGGCAATAAAATAATGTTTCCATGATAAAGGGCAGTTCTTGAATAATAACAGACCTCATTCCAAGGTTGCCTCAGAGGTCCCAGGGGCACTCCTGTTTTTATTTTTAAAAAAATAATAATAATACTTTAATATTAAAGCCACTAAAAATTAGTAAGTTATCTCTATTACAAAAAGTAAATGCCTTGGATAATAATAATTGGCTTTAAAATCTCAAAGTTGTTAAGGCAAAATATACATAACTAAAATGAAAAGTATATGGTAAATCTTTTTCAGTGATAATTACATATGACTAAACATAGTTTTCCAAAGTCTTTGGTAACTTAAAACTTTGGAGGTTGTTGAATTAAATAATAAAAATTATTAAATACCTAGGTATTTTAAAATGACAAAATACTAAAATATTAATCTGAGTTTACCTCATATGAAAAATCTAGAGGATAGATTTGAACCTATTAATTGAATATGTCTTGTATTTTATTTGAAATACTAGAGGCCTGGTGAATGACAGTTTATACACTGGAGGGGGTTGGAGGTGTCCCTCAGCCCAGCCTGCACCCTCTCTCAGTCCAGGAGCCCTCAGGGGCAGAAGGTAACCAGAGTGACTAAAGAAAAGCAATGCCTTATCACATCTCTGCTACTTCCACTCTTGGCAGCACAAGCCTTGGCTAGCCCTGGTTACCTGAGCCTTGGGCTGCCCTGGGCTGCTGGACAGCTGCCATATGAAGCTTACCTATGCCTCAGGCCAGCAAGGGAGGCTTGGGCGGCTTAAGGGACTGAAGGATTCTGGAGGCACGCGTGGAGAAGCTGGGCCCTCCTGGGGTCAGGCGCAGCCTTGCCATATACTGCTGCTCCAGTGGAGCTGATTAAACTGGGCACCGCCATCTTTGATGGTGTGGCAGTCAATAAGCATATTCCCTCCTTATTGGCTGTGGGTGCCCCCATCTTTGCAATGGCATGAAGGTCAATTATATTCCCTTTTTATTATATAGGATATTCTTAAAAATGTAAATATACTACTAATCTAAGAAGTGCTAAGTATTTAACTCACCACCTATTTATACTTCAACCTAAAAGTTGAAGCTTCCAAAAGTTAAAAATTCAAATCAAATTGGGAAAAATTATATTATTGTAAAAATAAAATGCATAAAGAATGGAAATTAATTTTTAAGAAAAATAATTCTTGCATTTTCTCTGGAAAAATTAGTAATTCAAAATATATTGTAGTCCTTGTGTGTACTACATGTGGTAAAATTTTAACCTAGGATATAATATTTTATTGGCCTGATTAAAAAGAAGATTAATTTTATGGTTTGAACCAAATTTTTAATATTAAAACCAGTTTAAATTTAATTGATATATTTTAGAACAATTACAAAAAGTGTATAATATAATATTTTGGTTATGTATATTTGATAGTCTTTCCAAGTTTAATTTCAAGAATTTAACCAAGTGATAGCTTTGAGACATTTCAAAGGCCCTGTAATGATTCAAGGATTTATTCCCTCTTAAAAAATGTTTTTGAACTAAATTAGGCCAATCTAATATATTGAAATTATGTGGGAAACTTTATCAGATAAAAATTAATAATTGCATTCTACATATATACATATATTTTAAGTGTTATAAAGGTTTCAACCTCTAAGTTTGGTAGGACAAGGTTGCTGAATACTTAGTTTTTCACAATATAAGCAAGATCTCATACAAACTCGTTTATATGAGAAGCCAATATTTCATGAGCAATTGGTTCTAGTAAAAATCAAAGTAAAATTTGCATACATATGCAAATGAGCACTAACCCAAAAGAATGCTGTTTAAAAGTAAATATAAGCTTAATGAAAATGAGAGAATTTTAAATCTCTTATGCAACTATTTACAAAGTAAATCAAAAGTTATTATTCAAGCATTAAATCTCACCATTAATGAGATACCATAAGGAAAAAGAAAGTTATTTTTACTTGAAATGTGTGCATTGCAGTATTGGCCAGCATATCTTGCTCCTATCTGTTTTTCTGAAAGGCAACCAAGTTGGTTTCTGTTTAAAAGAAAATAAAAGTTTTTTTAAAAAGAAACTCCCTAAATGTAGTTTAGAGATTGCTCTGGGAGAAAATACAGAGGGAAATGCCCTTCAAATATTTAGGAACTATAATTAAAAATCAATATATTAGGCCTTAAAATATAGAAATATGAAAGGATTGCCTTAAAAACATTAAATGACTTCCAAAAATTATTAGGGGACATTAACTGTTTAAGGATTTATCTTAAAATCTTTACTGGAGAAATGACAAATTTATTCAATATATTGTACTTATGGTGACTCTACTATTTCCTTGTCCTGAACATTAACAGATGAAGCTAG